AAAGACAGAGGAAGGTGTAATGTCTCACTCTTGTTAGTCGTCTTCTTGAATATGACTGCATTCTCCCCAGAGGTGAAGAATTTGAAGTAGGTGCAGTTGGATTCTGTGGGTAAAAACAAAAGATCAGACAAAAAGATCAGACCCCCACACACACACACACTTACATATACACACACACTCCCACACACACACTCTTATGGATGGCTGCTGGTCTTCTGTGATTTGCCTCCTATGCATCCATGCACTCTGTCCTTCCAGGCATCATTCCTATTTATATCCAAGTGTCGAGCATTAGCTGGAATACCCAGAGACACACATCGCTACACACGCACGCACGCACGCACACCCACACTGCCCAGCACCGCACATATGGTGCCGCCAGAGAGGGTGAGAGACAGCAAAACACTGAGGGTGGGAGGCAGAGGGGAAGAGGGGGAGGAAGACAGAGGGAAGGGGCAGATGGAGGCGAGAAATGGAGAGGTGCGGCGAGTGAGGGGAAGAGGATATGTGGGGTGAGCGAAGGATGGAAGAGGGGGTGCAAGAAATATGGATGGAAGCTCAAGAAGAGGGTGAGACGACAGGGAGAAGGAGGAGTGAGTTGGGGGGGCAGATGGAGGGGTGGTGAGAGAGGGGAGCCACAGATGGAGAAGGAGGTGAGGGGAGAAGGAGTTGAGGGGGGAGGAAACAGAGGGGTTGTTTAATACTGCATTAAACCCTCTCCCTCAGTCCCAGTCTGTCTGTCCCTCTTCCTTGACCCCCCCCCCCCCCCCTCCCTCCCCTCTATATTTAGACAAAAACTGTGAAGTAGTCAGATTCCACTCGGCTTCACCAGCACACAAGCAAGATGACCACATGCTTGTGCACATATTCCTCTCACACAAATATGTTTGGGCCCGCGCACATTTGCAAACATTTTTATCGAAGCAGACACTCAGTTTATCAGCCTACTGATTTTTTTAACACATTACGCTATCACAGCCAACTGATTTCGCTCTCGCTGTCCCTGCTGAGGCCATAATTATTGAGCCGTCATGTTCCACTGCAGCAGGCAGCGAAGATGGATGGCCGGTCCTGAGATGACAGGCAACGGCATCGGCAGGGCCGCACTTTGCCCGGGACAGGGGCCAGAGGCATGTAAACTGGGACATGAAACAGAGAATCAGAGATGGCAAAAAACAGTTGTTTTCCTCCAAACACCGCTCACAGCCATCTGCGACAGGCGGCGTGGGCCAACAGTGTGAGGAGGCTTGTCAGAAGCAGACTGGCTGCTCTCACACACCAACAGGCCATCTTGGAAGAATGGTAATAGAGGGTACATCTGCTACTGAGTTGCAAAACAGAAAACAATCTAGTGACACGTTATTACAGGTGATATAAAGTGTGTGAATAGTATTTACAAATATATCTGATCCACGTGATTTTTTTAGTTTTCTCCTACGCTGTGTTGCGTCTCAGGCAATTTCGTCCGACAGGCCATGATTCCTGGCGCGGATCCTCCATGAGCCTGCCGTGCCTTGCCTTTCTCCATTTTCCAATACCTGCCCCTCGCTCCAACTCGAGCCTCGCTTTTCAGACAGAAATAGGTCATTGTGCAGATAATCGACACACTCCCGAGGACCTAACCGCGGTCAAGTCGAATAAAGTGCTTTCAGAGAGGAGCTGTCACAACTCTAAACATGGACGATCATCAGCACAATAAACCTGTGGTCTGCCCCTTTATCACCTGTCTGTACTGTGTGTACAACAAGAGATGATTAGGTGCTCAGTGGAGAGAGAAAGCCTTCATGTTCATAATGCTTCACTGCACTGACAGTGTTATGAATCACAAAGATAATATTGTGTAATGCAGGATGTGCCTGTGTGTTGCTTTATGTTGTCACAATGGGAGAAGAAATGCAAACAGCTTCACTGTGGTCCTCATTCCACAGGATCTGTTTCCGAGAGTTGCATTTCTTTAATGATTCAATTTGCACATTATCTGTAGGATGACCTAGATACATATGTATGCAAGCAGCTTCACATACACAAGTATCCTCTGTCTATGCCTGTGCAAGGCTACAGTGGATTTACGTATACAGCAAACATGCAGGGAAAAGACTAAATATCTCAAATGTGTTGCTGGCAATTTTTTATATGTTGGGGGAGTGCAAATAATTTTTATTTAGACCTATGGTGATAGCATGATTCCACCTAGTCCCTCATGAGTTCAGATAAAAGACCTGCAGATGTAAGCGTACTCCCACAGGGTATATTCCATATTAGCTATGCCTGCTCCCTTTGTTTTCTCGATGATGTCATCAACAGCCTCTCACAAGCATCTCTATTTGATCATTTTCAATTAATTCACTTTCACACTGAAGCTGATGTTAGGTTTGCATGATCAGGCAGTTCAGGTTGCAGTGAAGACACGAGCAGACAGTCAGAGAACCCAACACATTCCCTCTCACCTGCTCCCAGAACAGACAGACAATCACACACAGTGCCAGGCCAGTGGTCTCACCTCCAGGTAGTTCAGCAGGGCCGCAGCTTGTCCTCTCTGGGTCTATGTCAGCCACCCACAGGGTGCGGATGCAGCCCTTCCACAGGCCGTAGTGGGCCATCTGGCAGGTGTGGTTGCCGCTGAAATTCTTTGGTTGGGCCAGCACCGCCCAAAACTCTGTCCCCATACCCAAAACCGTCAGGGTCCCGCCAATGATGGCGACAAAGAAAGCCAGTTTGATCTTCCCCTCCTGGCTGTCACTCATCTTGTGGACTCGCCTCTGTGCCCTTCCACCCTTCATTCCACCCAGTCCCCCACCTTGTCCAGCCCCTGCCACCCCGATCCGACCGTCCTCATCCTGCTGCACAAAGAAGTTGGACCACATGCTGATCCTAAGTGGCCAGGAGGACCAGGGGATGGGAAAAAAGACTTAGGATAAGATAAGGGGAGCAAATAATAGATGGCAAGATGCAAGGAAGGAAGCTAGGTTGTAGATTTGATCATTTGAAAAAGAGGAGATACAGCTATCAACTGTCCTCTGATGGATGAGTAAATTGAGAGAAATTAGAATGAAGAGTGAAAATAAATGAGCTGAACACTGACATTAGACAGAAAGATAAATGAATAGAGCTACAATTAATCAGATATGAAGTAAGGTAATGATGAAATGGGAGGAGAGGGAGGCCGGTGCAGGAGAGCTGGTGTCTGTTTTCCGTCCAGTCCTCTGAAACAGAGAGACGAAACAGAGGGATGAAAGAGCGGTCGGCACATGCTTCACAAGAGCAAAATCCTTTCATCACCAGCATAACATTTAATTTCCAACAGCTTTATCAGCATCTACAGTATTCCCTCCCTAAAAGCCATACGACAGGCTCTCAGCCAACAATAGATAAGCCATATGGCGTTTCCCTGAAAGGCAGATTTTGCTTCAGATGAAGAAACAATGGGGCTGGTTGGTACAGGCAGGGTTCAAGGTGAGAGATAAAACCAGAGCGCCAGACGAGAACACCCATCTTCTGTTCCCCCAGAAGAGTTGACTACAGACCTCATCCCCGGGCAGGTAGACTATCCCTGGCTCAGACGTAGATCCAGTTTGATCTGAGGGGATAATGGGTTGCCACAAATACCTCCCATCCTGCATTACATGTGCCGGCAAACCCCGGGAATCTGCAGCCGTGAGCAACGCCTGTGAGCAAGTGTTTCAGTGTGCACGTGTTTGACAAATGCACTGTAGAAGGGACCTGGCTCATAAAGTCGTTTCTGTTATTCCAAACTGTGAGTGAGGGGCCGTTGGAGCAGCTTAAACAACCTGAGTGACAGGGCAGAACAGCGTCGCCACTCTGTGCAGGGTGCATCAGAGGTGATAATTCATGCCTGGACCTTCTGACAGAGTGGGGGGGCTGCAGTAATTATCTGTGCCGTGCAGACCAACAGGTCACATAGTGGAGGCAAGAGGCCCGGCCTGTTAGAAAGGCAGCACCAACAGGCCACACACAGTTGGTAGATCACTTAATTCAGAGCTTTGCGCTGACAGCATCAGAGGTTTTATATAGGCAGGGCACAACATGAACCCACTGAGAGTAAATACTTAAAAAAACATGAGGAGAAGTATGAAGAGCCGAAATAAATATTAAGGTTGTGCAGTATGTGGCAATAGGATCAAAATAAAAGTAGAAGATTTATAAAAAAAACTAGAGTCGACGACAGGGGCGGAAAGTAAATAATAGGTGATTCGTTGGTTAATTGATTAGAAAATATTTTCTGCTTTTCTTTGTTCTTTGTTGTTTTAAACTGAAAATGTTTGAAAGATGTCTGCTTCTGCTTCAGCAAACATGTGCATTTAGCATTTTTACTACTTTTCCACATTTTATTAATAACTTACTAATAGATTAACATGTTGATGAACATAATCATTCAATCTATCTATCTATCTATCTATCTACCTATTTATTTATCTATCTATCTATCTGTCTGTCTGTCTATCTATGTATCTATCTATCTACTTTTCCACTACATAACAGAAAACTTTTTGTATGTGTAAAACCAAAACAGAAATCACTATTTGTGTCAGACTGAAAAATAAATCTGAATCATCTGATAGAGCATATTTCAGTTGCTACTGATGATCATGTGATACATTTAAAAGCTGCATGACAGCGACTAATGGATTATGGGATATTTTGACCACTTATGGTGTTGACAGAAACTCTGAGTTTTATCACAGCTCGCCTTGAATCATTTATGAGCAACAGCACAGAAATGTGTAGAACAATAACATGATAAAGCTTCATCATCGTGATATTATTGCTAAAAGTCAATACAAAATAACATTGATTTATTGTGTATCTCTGCCTGACAGAAACCATTAGGAAGAATATAATTGTCTTATTGAAAGAGACGACAAACAGCAGAATCTTTGCACGTCTGTGATGAACCAAAGTTTTGGAATAGCGGCCGTGCATTCGAATTCTCCTCCAACATTAACTGTGATAAAGAACATGAAGAGTGCAGCTGCTGACAGCCAAGTTAGTAATCACAGAACTGCAGACCTTGATCACATTACATCCATATTAACCACAGGATGATCGGAGGGGGTTAGAGCATGCCAGGTCACTCTGGGGGGTGGGGGTAACGCAGACAAATGCTTTCTTTGTATTTAAGGGTTATTTAAAGCGGTGCACTTACATGTGTTCTGGTGGTTTGTAATGCAACATCAAGCTGTGGTGCACTGACTGAGCAGCTGAGCAACAGGACACGTCTGTACAACACAGGCACATTTTATTTTGTGAAAACCTGGAAACTCTTTAGATCATTTGACCAGCAGCAGCCCTGTCGACACCTTGGTGACACGTGGGCACAAGAAAGCAACAAGCAGCTTGAGTGAAAAGAAGAATAAGTCTGACCTGTTTGGTGTGTGTTGTTCAGCTCAGGAGGAAGAGACGCTTGAAACTTAATAGAGGGGTGAGAGTGGTGAGGGGTGAGTGAGTGAACGAGAGAGAGAGAGAGGGAGAGGGAGAAAGAGAGAGAGGAAAAGGGGGTGGGAAGGAGGTACGTAAGGGTTATGGAAAGAAAGTGTAACAGGGGAGGGGGCTGCAGCCTGGTTGGTTTACAGTGCTGATGGTTAAATGTGTGTGTGTGTGTGTGTGTGTGTGTGTGTGTGTGTGTGTGTGTGTGTGTGTCTGCAATGCAAGTTCCCAGCAGCAGCAGTCTGTTCAAACTCTGTACACGTTTGAGCTCTTAAATCAGTGAGCCAGGGGGCATCAGGGTGGTCCGCTCATATGACGACAGTCCAGTCCAGCGTGATTAAAAACATGTCTGTGACTGTGACTGCCTTGTTGTGTGTGTGTGTGTGTGTGTGTGTGTGTGTGTGTGTGTGTGTGTCTATTTTAGACAGCCACCTGTTAATGACATTAAGTTAGGGTGAAGGAGGAGCCTGTGTTTATGTGAGAAGGGCCAGGGCAGCGTTTTACAGCAACACAATATACTGTGAAGACACTGAAAATCTGACACAGAGACACAGAGTGAAAGTGAAACGGGAATGTGGAAACGTACACGTACAGAGACAGGAAAACCGAGACCGGAAAAGGAGATTGAAGAGGAATAAACACTTAACAACAATGTCTGGTGCAGATGCAAACATGGATGAGAATGGCTGAAAATGAGACATTTTGAAGGAAGGAAAATGAAAAAGTGCAGCCCCATTTCGTTCCTCAAGGCCCAGAGCGACCCAAGTGGCAGCCTGGTTTTGTGGAAAGCTGTGGCCCAGCCCTGCTTGGCTCTTCTACAGTTTAGGTTAGATACGTGGCACAGCAAGAGAGAGAGAGGCCAACCCCAGCAGCCAGCTATACGCTCAGGGGAGGGGGAGTGAGCGGAAGAGAGGGAGAGAGACAGAACAGGAGAGAATCAGAGAGAGGGGACGAAACAAGCTGTAGGCTGTGACAGGAACATAAACACCTACAATGTCCAGAACAGTCAACTCTTTTTTATTTTATTTTTTCTCCCAGGAGAGAGAGAGATTGCTGTGAGGCTGCAGTGCTGGATTTTGGTGCAGTTTGCAGATGGAGGCGTGCAGAGGACATGACGTCCATGATGAATAGAGCTGGAGGACAGCTATCTGTTTTAATGCACATACAGTATGTGTGTGACTGTTCTTTCAAACTTGACTTTGCCTTTAATTGTGCAGCCTCCATCTCGGCTCCTCCATCATGTGAGATTGATAGGAGGTGTCCACACACAGTCTGAGGCCATCAATAATCTACAGTATGCTGATGTGAACGATCTTGTCCCCACATCACTCAAGCGCCGCCGTCAGCAGTGCAGATTTATGCTTGAACACCCTGAGCTGCACACGTGTATGCAGCCATGCGCATACTGCATGACCGTACTCACACATCACAGCTGCATCCACCCCTGACTATGAAGCTGCAGAGCGGGGGATCTTATGTTCTTATTGTTTTTATAACAATTAACAAATCATATGATAAATATTGTTGCATGTGGACTTAAAGCTGAAAGCACTGCGCCTTAATCCTGTTTGAAGGATCTCCATTAAACTATTAGAGACAGATTTTAGTGCTGTAAATACCAGTCAGAGCAGCAATCCTGTGGCTATTTCCCCCACTGAGTGATGTTGCTATTTACTGTTTGTTACCTCCACTACGGAAATCATTTTCAAAGGCGTTTGTTTGTTAGCAGGGTTTCACAAAAATTACTTAATGGACTACGGATCTTGGTGCAGTGGGCATCAGGGAGGAACCCATTAAAAGTTTGGTGTTGGTCCAGATCAGAGGGCAGAGCCTGAATTTGTGTCTTTTATTCTTTTGATTTTCTTTAACACACTCAGAGAACACTTCATGGATCTTGATGAAAAATATCAGATATGATACTTGTATAATATTTGTATGATATTTACGTGTGTTTCACGAGGGGACTGTTGGGCCTTGGCGGAGGCATGTGCTCTACTGAGTGAAATTCTAGTTACGTCTGTATTTGTTTGTTACAGATGTTTTGGCAAATTATTTAGCTTTATGAATAACACAGAATATGTATATACAGCCCGTAGATTTAGGTCTAACAACAGACAGAGATACAGACTGTAGACCATCATTGTTTTAACGGGAATAGAATATATCAGTTAATATTGATAATTATCGAGAGAAGTGTCACATTCTTTTATCAGTTTCAAGATGGATTTTCACTGCTTGATGAGCATAATGTGCAAATATATCAACATATTGGTGTTGATGAAAATTATACTGCGATAATTATTGATGTTTTATTGCCCCATGTGTTGTATTCTGTCAATTAAAAGACTTATATACACTACATAGGTCTCTCACTGTTTCTCTCTGCAGGTGCCTGCTCCCATATGCTCAACGCAAACTGGTCCATGTTCACAGAGTGCCGCATCCAGGCTTCTCCAATATTGCACTCTCCCACTGCTGCAGTGTTGTATCTTTCTGAATGAAGATCAATGGGGAGGCGCTGCCCAGAATGACAATGACGATCACTACAGTCTTACAGCCACCACTAGAGGGAGATGACGCATTTACAGTCCTCACTGCCGCAACAGGCCCAGGGAGGCCTCCTGCTAATAACCTTTAAAAGCTCTCATGTTAAGCAGCCTGGATGCTGTGATGTATGAGAGAGGCAGGGTCACTTTAACGTGATACGGCTTCAGCTGCCTGGGAGAGCTGCTGTTTCATCTGCACCCTCAGGGAACCACAGAGCGTCACATCAGTGGCTCCACTGCTGGGTCTTGTGCAGCGGGGTGCAGTGATGCAGATGGAGATGGGCAGCATAGAGCTGACACAGGACATCATTGCATGTCAGAGATTTGTTGCTTTCTTGTCACGATTTTACAAAAAGTCCCTGTTGAATAAGTCCCAGGTGGATGCAGCATTTATGGCAGTTATTGCTGCTGAGCAAGACTCTGGACTCAAGGGGACTGAGTGAAATGTGAAGAAGGAGAAAAAGACTCAATAACAAGTAGATTTCTGGAGAGGGGGGGTGGCACAGGAAGCATAGATGTTGCAACTGTGAGAGAAAGACACAAGTCCTAAGCAATTAATAGTTTAGATTAATTAGTCTGCGTGCAGGGCTTTTGTTTATTTGAACTGAAGAGAATAAAGCAAATGAGAAACGACAGGAAAGCTCAATATGCAGGGAAAGGAGATTGGTAAATCCAAAAGAGACTAAAACGTTCATCTGAAAGGTAAAGATGACTGTTCAAAGATGACTCAAGTAGAAGAAATCTAGATAAAGCTTTAGATAACCTGAGATGCTCTTAGAAAAAAGTACAGCTTCTGGTGACATTAATATATGTTGTTACTTGACTTTCCGGGAATAAAGGAGCTAATAAGTTGCCAGGAAAATATTCTGAAGGAGTTGTGGAAAATGTTTTACTAAGCTGCAGTGTTTTCTTTTTTTTCCTACTGTAAAATAGCTCCATCGTTCGGACACTACCATTAAATGCAAGGATTTATATATGATAGCATTAACTGAATGAAACTGACTGGACATGACTCCACTCTGATTAACTGAACGTCATAATTCCACTGGTGGAATGAAACTGTTGCACTCTGGTGGCTGTTCATGAAAAAGGAAGCAAAGAGAAATAAGACGTCATGTAAATTCAGTTTTAATCAACATTTGAAAACAAATTGGACAAATGAAAGACTGTTTCTGCTTTTATAAACTAGATGTGGGTTTAGGTTTTAAATCATTTAAGAAATCACATTTTTTTCAGAGAGAAAAAAAAAAAGAAATTAAATGACACAGTGACACTGAAAAAAGCAGATTTTCAGAAAGTAAGGAGTAACATCTCAAAAGTGTTATCACTGACACAACCTCTCTTCAGCGCTGTCTTAAGCAACCCAAAGTATCAAAGGAAAGCAAGTCTCAAGCCTGTACAGTGTGAACATGTGGTCCTCAGAAAAACAAGGGCAGAAGATGAGGGAGATGAGAGAAAAGCAGATTTTAAATACATGCCGACAGTTTCAAACAATCCGACAACTAGTGAAAATACTCCCATGGCTAACAAAAGCACACCTGAACAGTAAAATGTGAAAAATAGCTTGTTTGAATTTAAGAAGGTGTATAATAGGAATTATGCAGCCTTTCATTAAATGTCAGAAAAAAAGCCATTGCAGTGTTTACGTTCGATCCCTCAATGTGGTTCAAGCTCTCAATTTATGTGGATTTTTAACAAATCATGCTAGAAAGATGGAATAGCTGTGGTGTTGTTTTTTTTTTTTTTCACTCTAACACAACATGAGTCGCGTGTGTTCGTTACATGTTTATTTGGTCTTGTCAAAGAGGTGAAATGTCACACAAACCCCCAAATAAGGTTTCGGTACATTTGAGATGCCATTCTGCAAGAACACAACAACAAATACTGGTGACGTGAGACTAAAGCATGAGTGACATTTATGAACATAGAGACATCATCAGTTACAGGTGCCGAATTTTCTTTCTTTAGAATTGGATGTTTAACATTAAGGCTTTTTGGTAAGGAAGAGATAAATCCACATTATGTACCAATCTGTTCACCTCTCCCAGTCTCTGTTTGTTTCTTCTTGAATTATATCAGACTGAACTGCTGAGACAAAAACAATCTTCCCTGCTAAAAGCTGTGCACAAAAGATGGCCTTGAAAAAGTGACAGAATGTAGTAAAGAAAAGCAAACGTGTGTATTGAAAATGTTTTTTCTGCAGTTCATGAGGAAAGTCTGCTGCCTGAATATGAGGCGATATTACAGCTCAAATCAGAGAAGCTTAACACAGTATCAGAACAATTACAGCTGACATTCAGATAGAGTCCAATTAGACATCAGTTTCTCTAACAATCGTCCTGAGGGGGGCAGTAGTCAGATGAGCATAAAGGAACATGAGGAAATGTCCAAACATAAAAAAAAATCCAGTAATGAACAAGTATCCCCTTGGCGTTCAAATGATGGCAAAACTGAGGTTGATGTTACAGCTACTGTATATCTACATTATATGGTCAAACGAAAACACCCTCATCTTCCTCTCCATCTCCCTCACCTCTACCTCTCACAAACAAATCTCCTTCCAATCAAAACAGTCCAATTAGTTCTCTACTGCGACTCCCTCCTAATGTACTTAAAACAGGCTACCTCCATTTAAATACAAACCTTTAGGTGTGGTACCCCCCTCCCACCCCAAACGACACCCCTGTTTCACAAAGTATAAAAATTGTTGACCCCGCCCTGGACCCATTATTACACACATTTCTCAAAATTCTTTGATGCCCCCACCCACCCAGCTACCCCCCCCTCACCCACCCAGACCCCTGTTCACTTTTGGACTTAAACCCTCCCTGCTCTTCTTCTGTTCCAATTTTCAAATAACTGTTTAACTGCTGGACATTTCACATAGATCTCAAATGATAAACTGGATTATCACCAAAACCATTTGTCAAATGCCTAATTTTCTCAAATCTACTTGAAATGTAGCTCTACCAAATCACTCAAGGGGCTGATTTGGAAATAGGCAGTACATACCCCCCCACCCCCCCCTTTTTTACTTCATGCTTCCTCTACCAGAAGTCTCGGCGGTGATAAGCGTCTGGATCGCAGTATTTGGTCACCACCACCCTGTTGGCAAACTTCCGTCCTGTCAACCCCTGCATGGCCTTCTGGGAGTCAAAGACTGATGTGAATTCCACAAAGATCTACAGAGAAGTTTAAAAAAAAAAAAAAAAAGCAGAGAGAGAGACAACAGATTCCGTTAATGACTTGACGCATTAGATCATTACTTATCATATAGTTTACATTGAGACAAATCTAATTTACCTTTCCAGTCCCAGGCACATCCAGGCCGTCCACAGGTCGAGGAATCTCGATGCTCTTGACTTGGCCATACTTGCTGCACTCGTCCCTGACGTCCTCCACGATCTCCTCATATTCCTCATCATCAATCAGCTCTTCGGGGGCAACCATGTTCATCAGACACAGCACCTCAGTGGGCAGGCCGCCCATCTGAGTAACAGAGCTGTTTAGACCCGGCACCTGCAGCGTCACGGGGGTCTGGTTCATACTTGTCTGAAAGGACAGATTGAAGTTTTATGTTAAGCAGAAGGACATCCACAGTGTCATTCAGTGTAGACCTCATTTAGACAAAACAGGACAGTAAGGATTTTTCCCTTCTACTCCCACTGTTAAGAAAACATTTTAAGTTGTGGCTTACAAGTTACCCAAAACATTTTCTCACTCACTTAAATGTCTGCCAGATTGATGGGTTTTAAGTTGAGTTAATTTTAGTGCAGTGCTGTGAATACTACTCCTGCCATAAAACGACACAACACTGGCACAGATTGTTTGTGTTTTTCAAATATTTTCTTGCACATGATATGATATAAACTTTTGTTCAGAGGAAAAATTCAGATGTGCTGCTGCTGAGTCTGTTTAAAGAGTAGCAGACACATTTCTGCGGCAGATCTGATCAGGAATCCGATCTTATCCATTTCAGAAAGTCTAGAGGAGAATCCTCCCACCAGGCTGCTGTCATCTGTAAAGCTCCTGGAGACTCACCAGAGTGGCGTTCTTGGATCCCACACTTGCTCTTTGCACCAGGAGCTTCTTGTCTCCCAGCTGCATGCCATTCAGCCCAGCAATAGCCTGTAATGATAATGCAAATTCAAATGATAAAACTGGGTAAGATTACATAACAGCGATGTTCTTTTAACAGTTATTTATAGAATTATCAAGTTGATGCTTTCCATCAATGTTTGTCCAGATTGATAATATGAACTGAGGAATTTTATAAAAAAGTATGACTTTGAAATCTAAATCAAAAGGTCCGAGCTGGTGTTCAGACATTAAAAATAGGGAATAATGAACATTTAAAAAAATATCCTGTAAATAGGGTTTTTCTTTTTCAATGCTAACCTGGTCATTAAGGTTGACATCAACATATTCACAGAAAGCATATCCTTTAGATAAGCCTGTGGCACTGTCCTTCACCAGGTTGAAAGCCTTCAGAGGACCAAATGACGTCAACAGCTCCTTCACCTATGACACAAAAGAACAAAGAGTATAATTAATAGTTTAAAGGGTAGTTAAGACTGTTTAAGAAAGGAATTTTAGCAGTTAATGTGTGATATACAAGTTGTATTCCAGTTTCTTGTTGTTCAATGCAGTAAAATACTGACCTGGTCATCATTCAGGTAGTTGGGCAAGCCACCAATGAAGAGCTTGTGAGCAGAGTCAGGCACCACTGTGGACACCACACCTACATGAGACACAATGACACAGAAAAGATTAACAGCGATGCACAAAGAGCTGCTGTATAGAAAATTTGGTGACTTATGAATTATGCCACAAGAACTGAGGGTTAAAAACCATTAATTGTCTGTGTACCAGGCACATAGACACTGGGATTCTCGCTCATGCCCGGCAGAGGTTGGTAATCATGGGGACGGCGAATTTTGAGGCTCTGGCCTTGAAAGATGATTCCATCAAAGGCCATGGCCTGTGTTGTTTCATCCACTGAACGAAACTACACAGGAATAAAATATGTGAATATATTGTCAAGTTTTCTTCAAAAACGCCCATGGTGAACAAATTGCATGTTTATGAAGGTCTCATCTAACCTCAAGGAAGGCAAAATTCTTATCCTGGTTGATCTGTACTGCAAGGACAGGGTTTCCAGGGGCCTGAGTTAGACCACCCAAACGCATCTGGGCATTGAAGAAGTCCATCATGGATTCCTATATGAAAGAGAGAGTGGTGAATTATTTCAATTGACGATGAAGCTATTAAAATCACAAATATGAAACAGACACATAGGTCACTTCGAATGATTTTTAACCTTCGATTCCAAAGTTAAATAATATCCTGTTCCTCACCTCTGTGATACCAAAGGGGATGTTGCCCACATACAGCCGGCGGGCCTGCCGGGTCATCTGGCTGCCCACTACAGGTACTGGGGTGGGAGTAACAGCCAGGCCATCTGGAGTCATGGTTGGCAGGAGGGCTGTGGCAGGGATCTGGCCTGCAGCTGAGGAGCAAAGACAAAAACAGGAGACAATCTATTTATCTGTTTATATTGGACTCTAAACAAACAGTGACTTGATATACTGCAGCGAAAAGAAATTTGCACCAAATACTGTAGTACAGCATAACACATTTTCAACTCTGAAAACACAAGTATGAATCAAATAAGCAACATAGGATGCTACCTTGCATGGCTTTGTACTGCATGGGAGTGATGTGTTCAAAACCAGGTGGAGGAACATCCCAGTACTTCTTCACCTTCTTCTTCTTCTCACGGTGTGGAGAACGGCTGTTGGAGTAGGAGCAGGCAGGTGAAATTAAAGCATAAGGAACAGAACACAGACACTTATCTCTCATTTGGTCAGCAGTAAATTACCAGATCTGATGACAGGTCAAGTCCTCAAAAATATATACTACAAAATATAGTGACTTTTGGGTGGACTTGCATCAGTCACAGTTTTGTAAAACTGATGGTAAAGGGAAAAGAAGGGAAAGAAAACCCAGTCCAGGCACATATCTACACAATGAGTCAACAGTATTTAGATTCAGAGGCAGATCATTAATTTGCAGTTGTTGCAATGATGCACAAACCAGCTTTGTGTTAGGTTTCTGTATTACCTTCCAGCATTGTCCTGGGGGTAGCTGGTTGGTGAGCTGAAATGACATTGGAAGGGTTTCACATTTCTCTCAAATCAATCATGACATTTACCAACATTTCTACTACAAAAATAGAACCTATTTTTCTATGACTATTTCTAATAAAAGCTATCAGGGGCCTGTGTGATCCTCAATTTTCTGAAAGCTCCTTTAGAGTTCAGATGACAAACAAGCACACTGACATCAGTCTGATAGAGACTCAACAATCTGCATTGGTTATATGTGGCAATACAGCCGATCTACTCAATTAAATTCTAGGTTATTCTTGTCTTGACATCTATGTGCACGTACTCATAGAGCAGCAGTGCCCTGGTAGGCCTTCATATTTTGTGAGATAAAGAGCTAACACAGCATGGAGGGAGCTAACAACAAACAGTCAGCAGTTTGGAGTTATGTCTCGCTTGCTATGCCAACAACTTCTACAGCTAAAAATGATCCGAGTCTTTTCCACACAGCACTGTATACAACTCATTAATTAAACACTGGCAGTGGATATACTGGTATCAGGACTGAGAAGGTTTTTTTTAATCACATACATTCATTCAGTGAGAGTGACTGCCAACATGTAACACCACAAATGATATCCTCAAAAACACAGCAGCTGCTAAGAGGAGGGGTCAGATTTCACATCCTCTGACCAGGGGCTCACATTGGGTGGACCGGAGGAACTTGTTTTAAATTTGTGCCGACAGACAAGGAGCAACAGCCATTCACAATCAACAAGAGGTAGAGAGTAGGCAAACTTCATGAATGTGTTAGGGCTGGGCCATGTGATTTCAAATCAGTATCACGATTATTTCAAACTTTTACCTTGATTGCAATTAATTAAAGATTTTAACTTGCAGCAAGGTGATTCGGAACGTACACCGTACACTGACATTTCCTATCAACCACATTAACCGACATTAGCAAAATAAGGTCGGTTAGAGGCTTTAAATGCCTGTTTAAAAAATGTTCTTTTAATTGCCCAGCCCTGGCATGTGTTAAAAATTAATATTGAAGCAGCCATTACAAAGTGGCAATATAATATAGATTTCACCATCAATAACTTGCATCCAGCACGTCTAAATCGTAGCCAGAAAAATACACAGGTGTTAAGCGTCCAAAGGCAAGCACGTTTTCCCTGACAACAGACAGGTTTGTCAGGGAGGTAGCAAGTTGGCATTGGGGCTGGCATTGTTTTGTATTACCCACAGCAAACATTTCTTTAGATATTCATCAAAAATGTAGGTCATGCTCATCATAAGAAGACACACCATTCAGTTTCACATTTGATGTTATTCAAAAAAGGAATGACTGTGCAAAGAATTCAACCCATGTTACTTGAAGGAGTTACATTCTGATCACCAAGTGATAGTGAGACCAATGGATCGAATATTCTCAATAGAACCATTGGTAACTTAGTCTGGATGTTCTGTATTCGATTACCAAGAGTATAAAAGAGGATGCAGCAGCTGTCAATTTGTGTATTTTGTGTATTCCCACACACTTGAGGCAAAACTGGAATAATCTCTAAGCAGGAATGAATCTAAGCAGATGAGACAAAGGGCTCAGAGGTAGAGAAAATAAAAATATTATTATAATAGACTGCATAAAAGTCCATTTGTGAGTGACACAATATCAAAGGGATAAAATAAACATAAGATAAAGAGCAGTCAGTTTTCAGTGTTTTAACTCCAGGAGTCCAGCAAACTCATCTAATGTCAATTCAAATATATACCAGTGATCAATAGAAACACTGTAAGTGTCGACTTAAGCACAGATATTCAATTCGCATTTTTTCACAGCTCTCAAGCTTTCTGTTGTCCAGAATGTAAAGTTCAGGGCTTGAGTTTGTCCATTTTGGATCAGTGTGCATTTGCTGAGTTTAGAATTTGCAGCCATGTACAGAACAGTAGGAGAATGGTGAGATGCCAAGACCAAATGAGGTGTAAAAAACATGCTGGCATGGCAAAGAGTGTGTAGTGAGTGTCAGAGTGATGACAACAGTTTTTAAGTGCATGCAGCTCTGTGACCAATGTTTGCTCTTGGAGTGAAACTGCATTGGAATAAAAAATTTTTTATTAGAAATTAACCCTTTTAAATTAACATGATCAAAATCATTCTTAACAGTGTTAAGGGTGTGCAGGGCCAATACACTTTTCCCCCAGTGGTAGTGACGTACACTGCAAGGCCAGTGAAGAGGGATGCATGATGCTGTGACACATGAGATTTCTGGTTCAGGTGCAGTTGTATGGACATACTAACCTGCGTCTGTGCCTGCGCTCCTTACTGTCCCCACGACGGTCCCTGCTGCGTCTGTCCCTGTCTCTGCTCCTCCTTTTCCTCTCTCTGCTGCGGCTGCGGGAGGAGGACCGGCGGTGGTGGCGGTTCTCTTTGTCCCTTTCAGCTGCAAATAAAGTGTTTATTGACATTACAAAAAAAGGTAAAAACATGGTATTTAAACACGTGGGTGGCTGCTCAAACAATATGGAAAAAATACTCTGCATACATCTGTATAGCTTTCACCTAAACGACTCTGTGTGGAATTAATATTATATATTAAAAGCATAAATATATCAAAGATTCTCTCATGATGTTATAAAGGCGTGAAAATAGTAGCAATTATGTAACAAGACCAGAAACATGTAGAGCTTTTGTTTGAAAATGTCTCAGTTTGTCCAGCTGAACATGGAAGTGTTAAATTCAGCTTGTAAAGGGTGGTCGCTGTGGTCGGCGTCTTAAGCAGCTGGGTCTATTTAAACTGGGGACATTAACCGGCAAAGAACACTGGAAATGTTAAATGGGTGCAACAGCTGCACATAATACACGCTGGCTGTTCCAACCATTGTGTGAGCACAACCATGATATAGACTGTCCCTGCTTCATTAAACATGGTCAATTAGCGTTTAAACACCACAGCAGTGTAGCTAGTGAGGATATTTAGTAGCTGCCTCTTATACAAATACGTCGCATACCGGACGGTGCTAAACCGTCGGCTAACGTACTTGCACTGTTCCAGCAAATAGACCTGTCCATGTCCGACTAAAACGGTAGCGGTGACTCCAAGTGAAAGAAACACGAAGCGTTTTAAATTACTGGTGTGTAACTGCTTGATTTACCTTGTTTGTTCTCGGAGAGCTGCCTCTCGAATTCGTCGAAGTCCGACATCTCTGTGATCTGGAGGCTGCTGCGCTCCCGGTGACTGCGTTGTTCAGTTGGCGGTGGCTAGCTTAAGCTAGCAGCAAAGTGGGCAACACTTTCAAAAACAAGCGCCTCGCCGATGCAGCTGCAGTAAGTTAGCTCCAACCAGCGGTCCGCCTTACAAATGAATTAACAAAAAGTGTTAAAGGGTGCACACATTAGCGGCGTGGTGCGTAATCACAACGCAACAGACAGAATCATTGAAAAGGGGAAACGTGTGCGCATGGGTTAGCCTGCTAACGTTAGCTTACTAGCTTGTAGCAAAGTCCAGAAGAACGGGCCTGCTGGTGTGGAGCCTCGTTAGCCAGCTATCGAGCACGAAACCCGAATGAATGAGAGTCGTTACCGAGCCAAACGCAAATCCCGGGGGATCACTGGCCCGCGAGGCGCAGTCGTTTGGCTTTACGAGTAAAATGTATTCGCTATTAAAAGGTTCGAGCCCGACGAAAACAATAAAGATTTCGGTATGCCCGCTTTTTTGCCCCGTCTTCCAGGTTCCCCGTGACACCGGAAGTTGATGAACGACAAGTTTCCGGTGAGTGAAGAGAAAGAGTCACAGAGGCAGGTCACACAGGAGGACACTTTATATTTGCTCTATACTGCTGAATATATGTTTGTCCAAGTATATCATCAGTTTGTAACTTCTAATGATTAAAAAACACCTGAACTAAAACAATCACATTTACTAAAGTAAATAACATCTCAATTTAATAGACACTACATTGCCCTTGTAATATTTGCACTACCACTAACAGTATTTTATTACTTTAGTTTTATTTTACTGTATTTATTTATTTTAGTTTTTATATTCTATATTATATTCTGCTATTTTTTGCTTGTGTGGTTCTCTTTCTAAGTATTTTTCAGCATGGTGAGAGGGAGCCTGTGAGAATTTCATTGCCAGTGACTGCTGTATGTAATTGTTGTACATGACAAATAAAGTCTTGAAGTCTTTTACATGCAGTGTTTTTTTCTCGAGGAACAGAGCAGTGGTCTTTTAGCTGAAAGACCTTTGACACCATAATGTAGTAGTCCAGTTTCTGATGCCGGTGACAGCAGGAGCTCCAATCTTCAATACTACACCACAGGAAGGCCAAATCATATCACAAGAGGCACTTGTATTGGATTATGTTCCACCATGACAAAGATCATATATGCCAGTTTGTCAACATTTAATCTGGAATACTTCAGGTAGTTTCTCCTACAATTATAGTGCTTGAGTTATAATGTTCATGATAATGTGTCTACAAGGTCACAGATACAATCACGACATCACAACATCCAACATAGGATGTACCATGGTAACAGTGCAAAAATGCACTGAGGTATAGAACAGAATAAAAAAAATCAACATTATATGTAGGGAATCAAATGTTTTAATCACCTTTCTGTCTTTGCAGTACAGTCTATGAATCATACACATTTTCCTTCAGTGAGTAATGTTGGATCTTACAGATGAATAAATATACATGTTTTGTAAGAAATCAACTGTGTTCATGACATTGTTCATTATACATTTGGTGAATAACTGCCATTATGTGAGATACACATTTCACTCCATAAACATAAATATGAGACAGAAAAATTATACAGATTCATGTTTTCTAAAAACACTGCACCTAGGTATGGTTTTGCAAGGTCTACTTAGCAGTTGCACTGCACCTTACACACATGAATAGGAGAACCCATCAATATTTAGTTTCATGAAAAAGCTCAATTAAATAATGACACTTGAAGCTGTAAGTCAGCATATTCCACAGTACCCTGTTTTGATGTAAGAGCTCATATCATTTCACTGTACTGGCATGGACACCACACATTATCATACAATATGCTGCTTTGAAATTGATGAATTTTGACGAGAACTCTATAAACTACAGCTTCGTCAAAGAGCTCTTATCCCATGCATCTGCAGAGACACACTGGGAAGCAATAACACATCATCTGTGTGCACAAAGCTAGCAGTGTTTAGTGATGCTGTAAGTCACACTGTAATAAAGTTTGTATGATTAATGTCCACATTTGTTTTACAAAGAAGCAAAAGTTACACAATGTTACAAATAGTAATTTTAGTAATAATTAGTGTAAATGCTCTGTACCATATTTTACAAAAGGTATCACTGTCACAAAAGCATCTTAAGAGCCTCATTATCAGAAGTATAAGAAGTTATCTTTTGTGTATTTTTAGTGCAGATAATTACAAAAAGGATTGATATGAGTAATGCTGCAGTACTATTTTTAAAACTGGGACCAACAGACTGCCTTATTATTATGAGGCAAACATACAATATCACAAACATTTCTGTCTGTTTTTTATTAAAAAAACAAAACATGTTGCTCATGTTACTATAATGCATTATAACCAAATAATATGTTTAAACTAGTGTTTACTATAATCACTTCATGATCTCCTCCTATCTATCTGTCTCAATGAGTTCTTCCTTCCTTTAAGTCTGTAGAAGAAGAAAGGAAAATGACAAATATCAGAAGAAATGTCTTAAGGCAAGTGTAAATGATTGATATTATGGCAATGCCAAAAACAACAGACCCATTTAGCAATATAAATATAAAAAGAAATCACTGATAATTCCTAAAGCATGGCAAAATCTAAGGAGGGAAGCATCACGTTAACACACAAAGATTGTGATTGCCATATTTTAAGGTCAAATTGCACACAAATAAACTGATAAAAATTCCCATGATTATAAATCATTAACGGAGCCAACAACTGAAATGGTCTAGAAAGTTGGTTTATGGCTTCAAACTGATTTGGAGTGTCTCTGAACTTAAACTCCAAAACATGTATGAGCTACATTGGCTACACTCGTTTAAAAGCAATCTCCTCGATAAACCTAATAGCAGACACATTCTCGTTCACAAATTCTGAATGAGTCGGAAATGCCATTTCGCTCTTTGAGAGATAAAAGCCATGTAGTTTCCCTTTTCAGCTGCAACAGACACTTCCACATGCTCAATATCAATTTGCTCCAATGCTCTGTATTGATAATGAAAGTGACATGAGAACTTTAATTGTCTGACAAGCAAAGATCTCAGCTGAAGCCTAAATGGTCACATCCAGGATGCTGAGTTAGTAAAATGCTTCATCCCTCTGGACATCTCTGTGCCTGCGAGGTGAGCTGGTCTGCTGCAGCAGAACCAAACGGCCTCTCCTCTCCTCTCAACCACCAGCTCCAAAGTTTTGTGGTTTTTCCCATTCCTTTTTCTATCTCAGTGTCTGAACCTGTAGGAGATGGGCAAGAGCAGGTTATTCTTCTTCAAGGCCTGCACTCTGCTGAGTGTCTCCTCATCCAGGGCAGTATAGCAGCGCCGGGCGTAATCCAGCAGCTTCTCCTTGGACGGGTCAAACTCGCCCACCTCTGCCACCTTCTCTGGGGCCACTAATAAGAGCTCAGCTATGGGTGTAGTAGAAGCCACCGTGTTGCGGTCCACACCATGGATTTGGAAGGCTTTGGACATATTTTTCAGACGCTGGTATGTAAGCAGGATTTTCTTGTAGCGAAACAGCACTCCTGCAGCATCTTTCACTGAAGAATGAGAGAGAGCAGAGACTTAGCGACAGGGCCTCATAACAGATCATGATTAAATTATAATATTTAAATATCTAATTATGTCACTTACCTCTCTGTCGCTCTCTAGGAGCTCGGAAGACTCGCCTTCTCTTTAACTGGTGTCTGTTGCTGTTAAGGCTATCTGGCATTACATCTTCCCCTGATATCATTTCTTCCTCCTCAAGGTACCCTTCTTGGTCCAAGTACTCCTCAGATTCCCCCAGAAGTGAAAGCGAATCTAGAAAGAAAAAACATATCAAATCATCACCTTCACAAAACCATGTACCATGTAAAAAACATTGATTTCATTATAGATTAATGAGGGTAATGCTAAGCTTTATTCCATACCTGGACCTACGTTGCCATGTCCGCTCATTTCATTCATGGATGACCTCGTCCCACTGTTGCTGTTGCCACTGCTGCCACCGGCTGTCGTACTGGTAGTGCTGTGGCTATGGCTTTGCAAGAGGGCCTGTGATTGTGTAGAGCTGAACAAAGCATTCATAGAGGCAAGCTGATTGGTTAGTGGATTGGAGACGTGGTTTTTGGAAGGCACCATAGTTGGAGCACCAGGCCTTCGTTGGATGAACTGACGTGAGGGGAAATGCTCTGCAGCCGACTTCTGTTGCTCTGTAAGGAGAATGTGGCTGTAATAATAGAGAATCTGCTATTTAAGCTCAGATGTGCGGACATTATCAACCATATCTTACAATGATTGGAAAGGTTAATTTAACAGAAATCACACAAATATTTGCCTTTACCAGCAGGACGATCCTCCTCTCGTCTTACCCTCCAGTTGAATCGCCTGGATTCATAACCTAAAGAGAGACAAACAAAAAAAAGTTCTGTTTCGAATCAGCATCTTAAAAGCTTGTTGGACAGGTTGTCGTCTCACACCTGTCCCCTGTCCTCACCGTTACTGTACTGGCTCTGGCTGTGTTCCTGTCCCTGGCTCTTTGTGGAAAAGATGAAGCGGTCCAGCTGGCACCGGAGAAAGTCTCTCTCCTCTTCCAGGTCCTCAATTCTTTTCTGAAGCCAAGAGTTTTTCTCCAGAGAAATCTGCAGCTGGGTGCGCAGGTTGGTGATAACCATGTATGAGTTGTTGACTGGAGACGGACCGGCAGATGGGGGCGAATCTGCAGTGGACAAATCAGAGAGTTTGAGAAACTTTACTGTGAACAATGAAGTTACTTTAATTTTTAAAGGATTGCTTCTGTCATTCACCATCAAAATTCTGATCATTCTGGCTGAAAAATCCTTGCTGCTCAAAGTTGCTCTCCTCATAGGGGATGGCAATTTCATAAGCATCCTCATTTTTTGGAGCTGGGAAAGGAAAACATGCACAGTAAGATATCAAGGCTGACATAAAGACATAAAAACAATAATAATGGATGATTTACTTTGAGCTTCTATAGTCTTACTCTGCAGGTGGAGTGAGCCTGCGTGGCTCTTGGATGTGGAAGCAGCATCAGTCCTGTTTCCGTTCTCCATCTCAGACCCCAGACGAATAGATTGGTGTCAGGGTTCAGCAGAAATGTCATCAGACTGTGAATATGACATAAACAGGGACATTTCAAACTCGTGCACAGCGGAGACTGAGCTTCACACACAAACTACACTTATGTTCATATTGATTGTATGGGAGGATGAAGCTAGTCGCTGAGCTTTCACAACGTCGCACTGTTGAAGAACCAGACAGCCAGAAAAAACAAAGCGAGCATCATGATCTGCTTCCCAGGTTATGTTCGTATAAACAGAAACAGTTAGACAACATGTGCTACTGGTGTATGATTTATAGCGGCCTGGTAATGTGCTCACATGAAAGTGACATTAGCTCCACACTGTGCTAGCCTCGTGTGACGTTAGCAGAGATTTAGCTGCGAATAAAATATCACAACCCTCTTCTTTCTTTCCTCTTCAGTCTTTAATTCCATCATTCACACGTTAGCACGGTGTCTACGTTAAGAAATAAACCCCGCAGAAGTCGGTACGTACCACTTTACGTTTGTAATAACTGAATCGTGCACATGTAATAAGTCGTTATTACTCTGTCATATCCCCATCTGTCGAGCTCAGCTGCTAGCTAACAAGCTAACAATAACAATTATCGCTCTTTTATTTTTTTAACTCCCTCTCTCGCGTCATTTCCGGAAGTCATATAATTAATGATCGTCCCTGGTGAAGGATAATCTAATTAAAAAAAATTAAAAATACTGTTATTATATAATACTGTGTTACTATTTTATATATTTGGTGAACATATTTACTGCTTTAAAATCGCACATATTCTAAATAAGAAAATAAATACTGACGTGTAATTTTCTGATATTTAATAAATATGATTAATTTGCCTGTGACAGTATTTACATATTTTAAAATAGATAAAGTACAATTTGGGCAATTTTCAGATATTTGATAAATATTTTTTGACAGTAATCACAGCTTTTACAATGCATTACAAATAAGTAATACAAATAAGTGTCGTTTAAGTAAACCCTTGCATTCACGGGTAATTTTCAGATATTCTATTCATATTATGTATTAGTTTGTGACCCTAACACAAATGTGTCTACAAGTAAAACATAATTTTAGGCACATATATACTTTGGATAATCAATAACTCTAGTACATGGACAAAAACGTGGATTCGGGAGGAGAATGCCAGTGATGCAACATTTTCTGTGTTTTAAAAAAACAAGACGCAGTGACAAGGTGTTGTGAGGCGTCAGAGGAACTGCAGGACAGGTAGAGCAGGTGACGAGGTGTCAGGTTTCACTGGCGACTGCTCGTTTCTCATCGACCTCATGCGGAAAAACACGATACTAATTGTAAACACGACGAATTTGAGATACTCGGCAAAGTTCTAACGTAAAGGTAAGTGTTCCAGGGGGTTTGGTTATTCAGGAAAAATGCACTTGTGTGTGTAGACCTCGCTGCTTTGTCATGTGTTAGCACAGGACAGGTGTGGTACCTGCCTGAACTGGTGCACGTCTAAGAAAACAGAAACCTGCATTGTGTTATTGTGAAACCAATGTATGGTGTTATAGAAGTCCACTTTACAATATAGGTGGATATTTATTCAGTAAATACAATGAATAAGTTTTGACTATCTTCCAGAAGCTACAGTATGTAATATGGCACCTTCCCATATAACATCCTCGTCTTTCTTTTTCAGGCATGGCACCCAAGTATGATGGGTTGTCCCACTGTAAGCTGGCCCTGGTGTTTGCTGTGCTGATGGACCTGTTGGGGGTGATATCCCTGCTGCTGGGGGTCTTTGCCCCACTGGAGATCCATGGGCAAGACTTTGGGGATCTGCTGGTGTACTCGGGAGCACTGCTGGTGCTACTGTCCCTGGCAGGCTGGGTCATGTGGTACAGTGGCAACATTGAGGGTCTGACCTCCAAAAAGGAGTTGGGAGGAACCGTGGGTGGAGCAGTGGACCGCCTCGCCCGCTCCCTGAGTCGCAGGATACGGCTGCCAAGGACTCGCAGCAGCCCAACATAAAAAGCTGCTGTTACATGACAGGCTGTATCAAACCAGGCAGCAACCCAGACTGCCTGAGGCTAAGGAGCGTTCCTGCTGTTACTCATCTCGTGAAATTGACAAACACCTCATTGTGCTTTTGTATAGAAAATGTCTCTTTGCTTAATAAATTGTTTGTGGACCAGACTGATATTAATACTATATGCACTGCTAATTTTTTGATTTTACTAGTTGCTGCACGAGATTTTGAGAAAACCACTCAGAATAAAAGTTACTACATTGACACCGAAGACATTTTAATGATGAAAATAATGTTGCTGAGTCAACTCAAATACTCAAATCTTAATTTCTGTACAAGGAGCTGTCATGACAACATGTGTGCACAAACCTGTAATTTCACATAAATATCACAAAGGACACTTGAAATAACTCCCCCTCCCTCATTTTACAAAAGATAAATGAAATCAAATGAGAATATGAAATAAATTAAGACACCAAAAGCATTTCATGCCATTCAAAGACAATATACAAAGCAAAGAAGTAATAGAGAAAATAAATTATTTCTAAGGACAGAAAGTAAAAAATTGAATTTAGTGGATGAGATATCAGACACACAAACATATAGACACATTTATAATGTGCAGTTTTTTGTAATTACACCACATGCAATGTAGGAGGGTAGAATTTGAGTTAATACATGGAAATTATAGTATCACAGCTCTTATTGCAGCATCAAAAGATAAGAGATAAAAAAACAGTGATTGTCTTCAAGGTGAGAGCAGAGTAACAGATTTTCAGTTCACAGTTAAGAACAAACATCTACACAGCAGTCACATGATGAAGCTTAACATAATGATCCAAAGATGTATGACAGGAACACCTGGTGTCACATGGTGGACAAATCTGCAGGTTCTTGGACAAGCAGTAAAATATATCAGAGATGTTTGTCAGTTAGACTGAGAGCATTGTTAGTACAAAGTTAAAAACAATCTATTAAGAATCAAGCGGCTGAATTACTAATCTATTATACAACACTGATATAAAATCAGATGAAGGCACATGGGAGGACATGATATCCCATTAATCCAGTCAAAACATATATACAAAATGAATGAGGTAAACAGGAAAAAATGTAAATTATTTTTTCAAATTTCTGCCACAGATGTTTTTTTTCATTCAGTTCATGAAAACACCATTTCCACTGTTGTCTGCTGGTGAACAATCTTTATCCACCTCATCTTCACGTTTACCCACAATCAATGTCAGAGAGCAGGGTTGGGCACAGAGGGGGTGGTGTTCTGCCAAATGATCATGTGACTGCGGTCAGACCGTTGAGGCGTAGTTTGGGTCGATGTGTCATCCGATATGTCATTTGCATCGTCTCCTGAGGGAGTAGATGGCTCTGTTAGACCTTTTACAAACTAAGCACTGACTGAAATGGTGGATGAATCACACAAATTTAAATAAGCTGATGCAACAATAGTAATTTCCAGTTCTTCAACTGACCAATTCTGAAGTTGATGTAGCCCTCTCCTCCACTGAGGATAAACTGAGAGGTAGTGACAGTGCTGCTGCCAGGAGAGGTCATCAAACAACCTTTGGGACACAGATTACACACATACTGCATTAAAGTGGACTCTGAAGGATCTCGCTGAAGTAACAGGTTACTGAACATGTTCACCATGTTTGAGTAACAGGTATCAAAATCTTACCAGGCGCAGCAATGATGAACCTGACAGCTTGTCTGTGTCCATGGTAACACAGCTGGGCTGATGAAATGGAGCAATATGGAATGGAAACAGCTTCTGATGCTGTGAACAGTCATTGAAGTATAGGTGATATTTAAAGGAGCACCTTTCTGACAATACTAAATTCAAGCAACAAATTCAGTCTAAATAAAACTCACTTATGGATAATGGGATGGAGAAAATGGCTCCACCTCCAGTGCCCACCCAAAGACGACCAGAGATGACAGAGAGAGATGAGATTTGCAGAGGTGAGAGTGTCAGGAAGGGTTGGCCTACAGAGGGAGACAGAAATATTTCAGTTCAGTTTGGGTAACCACTGCTTTGACCTTTTGTAAATGATATAATAGATTATAATAATTATCATTATTTACAATCTCATATCATGATGCAGAACAACAAAACCACAACAACCTAATCCCAACCCACTGCCACTGATGCAACCTACTGAGCTCTCATTACTTTACTGATGTAAAAAAAAATTATTTCTTTTTACAATTGTCACTATAACACATGTAAATAATTAAATCATTCTATTCAAAGTTTTTTTAGTCAATATCGATTCCAAACACAACAGATTTGTTTCATTTACACATTAAATTGCTAATTTTATAAATAGAAAACTTTATTAGCACCTAATGTTTTAGTGACCAAAGTTGAAAAATCAACTTCCTGTAGCGGCCGCCCAGTGGACCAGTCAAAGAGCCTGAGGATTGGATCAAGTCGACATGAGGTCCAAACACCACTTCCACCGGCACACAGGAAACGAACCTGCTGCTCACTGCGCTCAGACACTGAGAATGTTTGCTGTAAAAAGTGAGATGATGATAGTGTTGGTGAGATCTACAGCACAGAGAGCAATGAAGGTGCCTCCTCTGTCTGTTTCTTACCTCAACCTTCTTTTGGTCAATGTCAACCACATGGACTCTGTTCCAGTATCCCGCCCACAAGCGGCCATCTTTGGCAAGACAGCAGCGAATAGGCTGCATAGGGTTTAATCCAAGCGGCACCACTGAGTGCGACTGCAGATTCCAGCCACCTGTCAATCACAGTAATCATTACTTCAGTCACCTTTATAAGCTGTGTGAAGTAAGCAAAATGGAGAGACAGATATAATGAAATGAATACTTTGGTTTTTAATGTTTTCTAACTTAAATTTAAAGTTTAATGTCTTCTTGCAGTTAATTACTTTAATATGAATGATCCTATACAAAAAAACATGTTTTGCTTTGCCTCAAAAGAGAAAACAGGAAACCGGTACCTGAGCTGTGTGAGAAAAACGCTAAGGTCCCGTCAGCTAAACCAGCTACGACTTGACCCTGGGAAAACCTGAGAGATCGGGTCAAGTATATCTTTATTACTTTGATATAGTATAACATATAAGACAAAAGAAAACACATTAAGAAAAGGAAACGATAAAAAGCTAGTAGATAAAAAAATAATACACATTTCAAGCAGAGTGCAAAATACTCACGTAAGTGAATAGACACCCTCTGACAGGGAAACAGACTGCAGACAGCGCCTCCTGCTAACAGAGGCTGAATGTACCAGTATACTGTGAGAGAGAGAGACAATAGGAGAAAGAAGAGGAGGTGAGACATTTGGTCAAAATGCTTTGCCAACAAGTATTTTACTCACAGAAAGCATTTTTTGAAGTGAGCTGCTTATTCAGCAGGCGCTACCTTCCTTCCTGAGTTCCAATCCACACAGTTCCTGTGGTGCCACCTGACAAAACAAGACCAGAAAGATTATGTGAAGGAAAAAGTTGAACAAGCGGTGTTCACCCGTTAAATGGTATGAGGGGATAATACAAGTAAAGTACACATGAGATATGATGTCTGCAGGCAGCCCATTGTACCGGCACTGACCTATGGGAGGCACAGCACAGATGCAGAGTGCAGGAGCAGTGGGAGGGAGACCGAACTGATCCAGTACTGTGTTGGAGCGTGCTGGATCAATCACTGTAATATCACTGCTGGAGGCAGGACCAGAAACTACCCATACAGAACACTGGCAGAGAGGGACGGATATGGAGTTGGGAAAGATGAGATGCATGAAATTTGTCTCTAGTCAGTGTTAGTTATGGTTGGATGGTACTGTTCATGCACATGGTGATTAAAGTGTGACTACAGCTATTGTTTCAGCAGGATAATGACAGACTTACAGTGGCCTCTCCGGAGACTTCAGGTGTGACTGAAACCGCACAGTTCACCTGAAAACAAGAAAGAAGAATAAGTTAGTGACCATGTTTAACTGTCACGTAAAGTCTTAGGTTAGAATGAATATTGCAAAGGCGAGATTTACCTTAGCAGTGGAGTCTCTTTGATCCAACAACCTGAGCTGCACTAGAACCGGCACATCTTTAGGCTCTGGGGCAGGTTCATGGGATTCCTAAAATAATGAGATGTAATCACCAGGATGTTGATAGGACTGTGCACATCAACATATGTCTGGGTAAGTTAAATGAAAAAAAGTCATGTCATAACCTAAAACCATTTCAGTTTTTAGTTTCTACAGTCGCTCCCAGATCGTCACCTTCCTGTATAGTCACGTGTTTCTATTACCTGAGTGTTTGCCAGCGGTGTGCTCCAGCCATGTATCTGCCGTTTTCCCAGAGTTCCCCAAATGTGCGAGCGAATTTCTCTGTAGAGCTCCCTCCTCCTGGCACGAGGTGAGAGAGCAGCTGGAGAAGCAGACCTAGAGAGAAAGCTCCAGGGGTTAATCAGCTTTCCTGAGCCATTCATTATGATTCAAGGGTGACATGGCAAGATATAGTTGCTTACTCAGCCTGAGTCTGAGTGACAGCCGGTAGCTGTAGGGACACCACAGGAGAGCGACCGACTGGTGGGGAAGCAGGTGAGAGGATTTTAGATGCAGGAGGAGCGATTAAAGTTTCCTTTGACAGGCCAAACAAGCGGTTGAACCTATAATAAAGACACAATTATCGATTTACAGATCATAAAACTGCTGTCTGACTACAACATGTTACCACACTTTTACTTTGTACATTTTTGCTTATTTCAGTCCCTCTGTGTTGTTATTGACAGAGTCTGAATCCAAACACACTCCAACACTGACGTTACCGCACAGCGCTCTGAAGGAACAGTCTTTCTGCCCCTGCTTTCACTATTTTTATGGTTATTACTTTGGAGACCCTGCAGACCAATATTTCCTCTGCTTTCATAACTTTAATTTGAATGTGTCTCTTGACTTCAGGTTGCCAATGACAACAGAAGGTCACAACAATCTGGTTGATGTCATATCTCTACATTATGGTTGCTTTAATGTTCACTATACAGATTAACTATACTTTAGTTTGTCACTGCAGCTTTACTGCCTGTTTTATCCCCTGGCAAAGAGCAGCACGGTCCAGGACCAGGCCACCAACATTGTTTTAGGCTGCACTTACTTTTGTGCATTATAGGGACATCTAACTACATTGAAATGAGATGAGAGATAATACAACACTTACCTTCTCCAAACACTTGATCTTTTGTCCTCTATAAACCTCTCTCCCTTTGTTGCTCTATAAAAAAAAGAAAACACAATAAATATGATTGGTGGCAAAGACAGGATGAACAGCTGTGTTGGTAAAAGAACATAAAACTCTATCTCTACCCTTAAATGAATTCATCAACAACCGATCCAATGTTTCGGATAAAGGTTACCTGACTGCCTGACTATGTCTTACTGCCTCCTGCAGCTCGAACAGACGCTGCTTATACTGGTTCTTCTCCATAACAACACGAGCCATTTCAGAACGAGAGAAGTTCCGTGAAGATGTGAGAGAAGAGGCCTGAAGAGGAAGATTACTGTTATTTAATGGGGGTCATTCATCAGTTGAAACTTACACTGAGGAGGTGAAGGATAAATAGAATCGTCACCAATGAATTGTTACGGTAATTAAAAGTTTGACAATAACAATGTCTACACTCTTACGTCAGGATCCTCAGGTTCACATGATTCCAGTTCTTTACGAAGTCTATAAAAAACAGTGGATATTTAGGAAAAGGTTATTGTAACAGAAGTATCAAAGAATTAATGAACGATCAGAAAATATCAAAAATACATTTCTGAACCTCTTAGTTTCGTCCTCCTTCTCCTTCACTCGCCCCTCTAATCGAGAGACTGTTTCCTGAAGAGAGGTCACTTCCAGTTTAAGAGCTGACCGGTCATCAGTCAGCTCAACTACCCGAGATATCAGAGCTTTGCGGGCAGCTTCTACCAACTCACTGAAAATATAAGGATCAGAGCCAAAGTTAAATATTTTTAGGTTATGAAGAAAATGACAATCATTTTGGTAATCATAGTAGCAGCTAGTTACAGTAACATTTTCTCCATTTACTCATTTGTTTCTATGAGAGGAAGCAGTTTTAAGATTTTGGAAAATCCCCTGAATACCCAGAAACCACACTGAATTTAACAGGGTCGGATAAATCAAATTCAGTACTCACTAGGTGACTTTCAGTTCCTCATACTGAGAAAGAATCTCCTCAAACTGGTCTGTACTGCCTATGCGGAAGAAAAAAATATCAAAAACACTTGACACAGTGATACAGCCTTTACAACACAGAGAGCAATAAACATTAGATCTAAATATCTTTATTTACTCTGCACTACATGGGATACATGGGCTGCAAGACAGTAAAAAAGGAAGTACATCTTTATAAAACCTCTACAAAGAAACGTTTCCCAAATGAACTAATGCACTTCATGTTGGAGTATAAATAGATCTCTCACTGTTGCCAAATTATTTTTAGGAAGCAATGTCTGTCAACTCCAAAGTCTGTAATCAGTCACTTTGTGTCTGCGATCATCTAGTTTGTGCTTCAGTGAATGAACATGGGCATTGATGTTGAGATATCGTTTTGTATCAGCAGCCACATGTGGGCTCAGAAAAGGTTGTGAGGTGTTTCCTGTGCAGTTACAGTTTTCTGACCATTCATAAAACCACTGTTTGAGAACGACCCATTCCTGAAATATGTCTTTTTATGACCTTACCTCTGACACTGGCCCCGCGGTCGACACTCTCCACATAATCCCGACTCAGCTCCGACAGTTCAGAAAACACAGAGTCATTGTTGCGAAGGTCCCACTCCACACTATCTTCTTCCTCCACCTCCTCGTCCTCCTCCTTATCTTTTTCTTGCATGTTCCCCTCTTCATCTTTGGGTTTCTCGTCTCCCTCCACCTCCTTCATCTCTTCCTCCAAGCTGGTCTCTGACTCATCCCTTGGTGGCTCCTCATCGTTAGGTCTACCTGGGGAACTGACGATGAAGATGGTGGTGAATGAAAGAAAAAAAAAAAAGGTTAGAAATGACAAAAATGTTTGCTGAGTGAACTTGTTTATCAGCTGAAAAGAACACAGATTTAGTTAATGGTTACACCTCTGACATACGTTACACAAATCACTTTATTACCTTGCATCCACACGGCCGTGAAACTGTGCCAGCTCAGGAGTGGAGCTTATGATGTCATTGACAAACTGATCCGTGGTCGACTTCACTGCAATGTCAATCGCCTTGTCCTCCTGGGTGACGAGCTCTTCCAGACAGGGGGGACCAGAGTGTGAATGGGGTCTTTGAATCATCTGCTTCGAAAGACACAACAGTTTAGCTACTTATCTGCCAAAATCTTGTTAAGGTGTGGAAAGTGAGAATCTTTTTACCTTTTCATTTACACTGGATTCTGACAAAACTTGATGGGATGGAGATTCAGCATTCTTGGAACGCAAGTGATTCCTACATGTACCATGGAGGGTTCCACAGAAAGGTCATGTAAATAAACAGTAATTGTGACTTTCTTACATTTTGCACACTTTCTTGCAGCACTCTTACAGCTACTGAATTTACCTGTGAGTTATCAACAACACCTCATGAAAAAATTGCCACAAACTCTGCGCTCTAAAGGTAAAATACCTTCCTGGGTAATAAGCTAATCATTTCCACAAATGTCTCATTCAAAACAATACACATACTAAACTTCTATTTGCAAAATAGTCTCAAAGTGCAATTTTTAAGTTTTATATAGTACAATTTGTGTCTGGCAGCATTTGTTATAAGCTATTTTATAAGAATACACTGCACACTGTATAGGTATCACAATAAAGCTGCAGTCCTGCTGTCATACCTATAACGTACTGAGATATAATTTGCATAGCATTCCAAATAGAGACATTATGTACGGCATGAAATTCGTTTTTGATTTAAATAAGTGGGTGTGAAAAACCTTAAAGGAGAATCCCGCTCAGAATCCTTTCTCTTTTCCAGAAGTTCCCGACACTGGAGAGCCAACTGAAAGGAGATAACAGCGGAGAAATACAATAATAGCAAAACAACAGCTGAATATTGTGTAACACTGTCTGAGGATACAAAAGCACACAAGACTAGAGACTAAACAGCAGAGTCTGACCTTGTTGTGAGAATGTCTCAGTGAGCTCAGCTCTCTACTTAAATTTGCTTTCTGCTCCTCCAAGGCCACCACTGAAAAAAAATACAAAACAAATGGACCTTAGCTTGTTAGCATCATTCTCCACAGTCCACATGTCTGATTTAGAATAATTAAAAACTCTGTACTTTGTAGATCTTCTTCAGTAAGATTTTAACTTTATCTAGTCATGATGTGCACAAGAGGGATGAATGAAATTGGAAGGAGAAAAAGACGAAGGTGAAAAGAAATTATTACATTTGAAATAATGGACATGGATCATAAGTCATTTGTCACAGTTACCATTCAAATACTCACACTGATCGGCTTGCTGTCTTGCTTTCTTCTCTAGTTCTCTCTCTCGTCGTTCTCTCCCCTTCTCCCTCCCCTTCATGGCTCTCCTCTCCTGTTCAATTTGGTCATCCAGCTCGAGATACCTCTAAAAAAACAAACACAAATAATTTAACAACCACTTTAAAGTTCAAAAACATGGGAAAGAAACGTGCTATAACCCCACAACATCAAGTCCCTCACCTCTTGACTTTCTTTCCTTAGTGCCTTTTCCGCTTGGTATCTTTCCAGCAGCTCCAATCGCTCAGCTTTCTCCCTCTCCGCCTCCTCCTCCCTGTCTCTCAGCTGGGCTTTACAGCTGGCCAGCCCCTCCAGCACCCACACAAAAATGGGCACCAGCGTCTCCACCACACCTTCACCATGGGTCTCGATGACGGTCTGCGATTGCGCAAAGCAGCCGAGCGTGAAACCAGGTGATCAGAAACACATTTAAACAGTGATTTCATTCAGAAAAACATGGCATATAGTATAATGAAGTAGAAAATTCATACCTGTAGTTCTGAATACAGTTTTCCAGCCTCTTCACTGACAATGTTGGGGTCTAACTCCATCTCCCCAGTCCCACACAGCACTCTGTCAGTGTACTCCATCAGCCAGTTTAGTGTATCTGCTGTATTAACTGTCAAAATGGTTTCTCGACCTCAAGGCCAAAGGTGAACAATCTAACAGTTCTGTGGCAAAAAGTAGTTCTGCTCACAACACTTTCTCACAGACTAACACAACTAGTTTATCTAGCTTTCTAACCGGCACCACCCATCCTCTGCAACTTGATGTTCCATTTGGGCTCAACAAGGAAACCATCCTCTCTGACTGTCGCTGTACTGTGAGAGTCATCTGTTGTCAGGGGCTGTTGAAGAGTTCATCCTGAAAAAGAAAACAAGAACATTCAAAGATGTAAAATGATGAAATATATAAAAATGACAAAAAACAGACATCTGCTTTGTCCAATAATCAATTTTTCAACAAATTACCACAAGATAATAATTAGTTCAACATGATTGTGTGGTTTTCTGCTCTTATAGTCTGTGACTAACATGGTTTGTTGAACAGCAAACTAAAAACAAAGCATCTGCACAGTGAGGATGACATTTTAATGCCACTGGTTGCTTTTAAGTCAGAACGAACAAAAAAGATATTCATGAAATATCAGTAACTTGTTAGAGTTCAGGCTTAGCAATGTTAACATACTGAGCAGCTCAGATTACACCCGGTCACACATTCATGCCTGGATTTATTTCCCTTTAAAGCCAACATTCTAAGCCACAGAAAATGTGTAATATTTATCAAATGTTCAGGAGCAAAAAAAAGGCTCTAAAAAGAAATGATAATGTGACACTTTTGTGATAATTATCCAAATACAGTGATAGTAGAGACAGTAGTAGAAATCACGATTATCAGTATTAAATGGTATGGATTCACGTCAAAAAGACTTCTTGTGACGATGTACGTCAATATGGACCATACACATCTCTTTTGTTTCCAGCCAGTCATAGCTGGCACATTGGCAGAGGATGTAGGAGACACAGTCAGCAATTCAGAGGTGAAGCTTGAACTGTGTTTGTTTTCATTTGGCTTTGGATAACTTTAAGCCTCTGTTACAATTCTTCAACATTTCCAATCATCACATTGCAATCATCCTCTGTCTTAGCACTTTACTTATAACATTTCTATACAAACCACTACTGTGAAAGGTATATATAATGTGCATACTCAGCATTTTTATTCAACCTTCTTTCATTTATTCCTTTTCTTGTCTACCACATTCTGAGCTGCCTGCTGCTGCACCAACTGAATTCCCTGGTGTGTGGATTAATAAAGTTTGATTTTATCTTATCTTATCTATATTTTATATACTTTGGGGTGATGGAATGTGTAACAAAGCTTCATATGCCAAACGAATGAACCTGTAACTACAGCTATCAAATAATAATAGTTGAGTAAAAGGTGAATTCCTCAGATATCTAGTGGAGCAGTAGGCTACTGTATAAAATGGTATGAAAATGGTTCTTAGCTTTTAAAAGTGTGAACAGTGTGTTCTTCGGTATTTAACCTATAAAGACACAGCTGATCTTTAAGGTGAATATGTCTGCACCTCTGGTAAGTGGTTATTATGCAATGCACATAAAGCTCAGATGAGCCTGTGCATGCATGTGTCTGTGTATGTGTGTGTGTGTGTGTGTGTGTGTGTGTGTGTGACAGCACCACAAATAGCCCACACATATCCAAACGGTGCAAACACACACAAACATGACAGGCTAATTAGCTTAGCCTCCTCCTCGGCTCTGTGAGGAGAAACTGACACACGGTATAAATAAGTAAGAAGTGACAGCGGACACCTTGACAGAGCTTTGGCAGCAACTTCACAAAGTTCAGACAAACAGAGGCGTCGCTTCGTTCACCCACAGTTTCACAAAACCCACCTGAACAAGTCTCCGGTGGACTCATGTCACTTCTCCTCCTCCAGATACATTCACTCCGTTTATTCTCCGTTTACTCTCCTTCAGGCTCGATTTTCAATTTCACTCAAGCGAGTTTTTAAGAAGGAGGCGTCGTTTGATTCCGATCGGCGGTCACACGTCGCGTCGTCCGGCCAATCAGATGGCGGCTACCTTCCGCTGTAGCCAATAGGCGGCGCGCAGAGGCGGGACGTTGCGAGTTTTTGTTTTCGGAAAGAGAAGAAAAAAAGTTTCCTGAAACTTGAACGATGACACGTGACGGAGCAGGTCATGTGATCTGAGTCCAGAGATACCTGAGCACATGTCTCACATACCTGACAACCAGCGGGACCGTGTCCCTGCTGGACCGTGTGTCTTTACACCTGGACCACTGCACTTTGTGATCGACTCCAACTTGTACAACATTCAGCAGTTTTGATGAGAAAAAGGAAAAGAGATCACATTACTTCGGTTTAGCTTCTTTACACTGGCTTCCTGTATCACTGAGGACTGATTCAAAACCTTTGTTTTTCTTAATGGTACAGCAGCCTCATACATCTCTGAATGGTCAGTGGAGTATGTTCCCTAACCTTTCTTGCTAAATATCCCAAAACCTTATTTTTATTTTTTATTTTCTGTTTTATTGCGGATGTGTTCTTATTGATCTATCTTATTTAATGCATTTGATATTATTGTAAAGCACTTTGAGCTGCATTTCATGTATGAAAGGTGCTGTATAAATAAAATGTACTATTATTAGTATTACTATGTGCTGGAAAAAGTCTCAAATCCTCACTGAAGTAGAAGAAAACACTAAATACTACAAGTAAATTTTCCACATGGAACATATTGTTTAATCGCAATTTTAATTATGATTAATTCTGCATCCTATTTTCTAATTTATGAAAACCAGTTATTATACTGTTAACACTATACTAAAAATTAACACTTTGAGTTGAAAATATGTACAATTTCATCAACTGGAATCATACTGTTAAATGGCATGAAGAGTAAGGAAGGTATAAGTTCTTCAAATTGGTAGCTGTAGGTCTACAGCACGAGGATATACTGTACTCAATGTACTGCACTGACTTTCACCTCTGATGAACCGTGTCAGATAAAGTTACTGAGGTTTCAAGTGTATTGAAAAGTTAGAGGCAGCAGAGCCAATTGCTTTTTTTCAGAGGCATCTGTTCAGACGTCATCATATAAAACTGAAGTTAACAGAAGTTAAACAGTGAAACTGTAAAGGAGAAATGTCACTGGATGTAGTAGTTTGTTTTTCTCCCAGCAGATGGAGATACTCACACATCTCCTCCTCCCTGTTTTATTTCTCCCTGTAGATTACAGTTGATGTCATGTGTTTTTCTTTCGTCAGTTTGCTCTCAGTAGCCATTCAACATACAACCCTGCTCCTTTTCCTGCTTTTCTTACATCAGGTGACACGTTCTAAATTTTACATATCATCTTTGAGACAAACAAAGTCACACTTTTATTACATTTATTGTCATATTGAGCCGTGTTTAGTCAGTTTCATGTGCAACAATTGTGGCCCAGTGTTCCATAACCATTTTGTCTGATCTACAATCAAGCAAATGTTGCAATTAATAACCATCAGATGGATTTACAATCTTTTCATATTGCCTCTGTTTGTAATTTAAGATGTTTAATTAGTTTTCAGGTTACATTAGCTACCTGAAGCAAATGTTTTGCAAATACAACATTCTAGGAAACTATGAATTTACTGTTGTGCTAATTGTAATGTGTTTTACTTTTTTTTACTTACTATTGTTGTAGTATCACTTTTGATATTTTACCTTTGTGGACTATTTTTGAATGTTGGCTGAATTCCATTCAAAATCAATGAGAGTGTATGTTTTTGTGTGCTGTCATAACGCACCTTTATAATCTGCATCCTCTTACCCTTTTATAAAGGTATTTCCACGTCTTGTTTCATTCTCACTCACTCACACAACATACACATTTCACATTTAGTCCATTTATTGTATTCTTAACATCATCACTTTGGAAAAAAATATCTTTTGGACATTTGGACCCCACTGTGCATTCACAAGTTCCAAGTCATAATAACAAAATAATGTGTAAAAGCATGAATACATTTAAAAAAACACAATACTGTTAGAAAACGTATGAGTTACTTATCAGAGTGTTATATAATACTGTAGGAATATTATCACTGATGTATTAATTTGTAAGTTGTTAAAGCTGAATGATGATGAATATACTGTTAGGTAGGTTATTCGATAACATGCACAACAAATCATATACAACAAATCATATTTCCATAAGATGCTCATATATTTT